CTTTTCATTCCACTAATTTATTCTTGTTTTTCTCGTTGCCATGTTCCCACCAATAACGTAGCTCCATTTTCTGCCTTTAAAAGCACACACAACCCACAATTCCTCTATTCGCTCCGACGATGGGTTAACGCTCGAAACGTCAGTTTTTGTAATCGTTACGGTGGCCAATTTACCATTTCAACTTTGTTGATATATCCAAATTATTTCGTTACCCCCACCGACGCAGCCCCAAACAGTTTCTTTCGAAACTATCAGCCTTTAAACTTTCTAGGTTTATCGTTAGTGAGTGAAACCAGTGATAATTTAATGAACCTAAAGTTCCAAAAATGTGAAGACTATAGATGAAAAACAGTGCTACGTGGTATCCATTTACTTCTATGACGGCCTCAGCTTCATTTCCGTCCATTTAAGTGAAAGCCTTGATCTGAAATGGTACCAAGTAACCCCTCGCTGATCTTTTGTGTTTCCCAGATATTTTCCGTTCAGATTAGAATAATGGCAGTTATTGTACCACCAGGCACCAGTCCATCGTACAGCACAGTTCAAGTTACTACCTACCCATCTGTCATTATCTCTGTCCTTTGTAGTAAATGTCATGTTGTTATGCCACGATAACGAATCTCCAGAAGTTCCTGAAAAGGAACTCACTTCAAGTCGATACTGAGCCTGCTCATCACCAATGTTAAGCTTTCCATATTTGGCATATGCTTCACCTCCGTTCCAATCTTCCATGTCTACTCGTAGGGAGCTAGGTCTAACAGCCGTCAGTCTGTGGATCTTGTCGTTTCCTAACCAAAACTCACCAGTCAGCTGACCAAAGCCAGCTTTGTAGTCGTTCCATCCCCGATAGAAGTCTACCGAGCCATCCTGTCTTCTCTGAAACACGGTCCAGCCTCCACCGTCAGTGCTCATGTCACAGTAGACATTGAACTGTCCTTTACCTTCTGGGTCAACAGAGTACACTCCACTCTGAGTATGGCCTGCTTTTAACAGATCTGAACAATCTAAGGGAGAATTAAAAAAAGGGCGTTTAGTTAACATCAGTTTTACGTATTATTACACAACGCGGGCAGTCAAAGGGCCAATAACTAAAATCAACCAATCAAAATGCTCTATTGCCGCTCAATATTCTCTCAGTATTGGACCGGGCACTGTCCTGAATGGTCCCGAATGATACCGCACTTGTGTCCCTTTGAACTTCAGTCGTATAATAAATCTCTTATTTACCAAGCTTGCTCGGGACCGTACTGGAAGAATATCGGCCCTCGGTCTTTTTTGTACGGACCTCGCTGCGCTCGGTCCGTACTGTCAAGACCTCGGGCCGATATTCTCCCAGTACGGCCATCGCACTTGGTTAATAAGATGTATGTCTATCCTAGTCATTTCTTAACCAGAAAACGGATCTTGCTGAAATAAAATTAACAAATAGGGAGGCCTTTATGGTACGGTCTGGC